TACCTAAAATGGGTTTCCCGGGATTATTGGTCGTAAAAGTCGTTTAGCAATTATAAGGGTAATAAGGGAAAACTATAAGAAAAGGGATATAATATATTTAGGGTCTTTAAGTAATATAGGACATTAAAAGTGTATACGTTAAATAATAAGTCTAATATGTTTAATAGCTGTAGGAGCGCATAAGTAATATAACAGTATATAATAAAGGCTTCGAGCCCTACATGAGGAGTAGTTTTCGTGCTTGCAATACATTTTAACCCAAATACTTTCCTGCTATCGTGACAATATATTGTAAAACCTACGATCATAAACACACCACTCTCCAAATCTAACCGCCCCTTATCGGCTAAGCTGTTCGTAGGTTACACGACGTATTTGATTTTACAATAAGTGTCAAAAAACAAGTAGTAAATGATGCACTTCATAATACTCTAATTTCATAAATTCATCGCAATGCAAATTAACATCATAATCCATCTTATTTTTATCCTCATTTCTACCTTATTATCACTTATCTTATTCATGATGCCACTTACATTTAAGCCTTGTCTGTCTTTTTAATTCTACATCAAACCGTAACTGCAGAAACAAATCAGCAACCTTACGATATTATCCGTTGCACTCTCAACCTTGGCTGTAGCATAATATTCCATTAAGGGAACTATGAATTGCCTTGTGGTGACTTTGTTTACAAACGAAATATGGGCCAATAAGACTGCTGTTTACATGTATACACGTGCGTGCGTATGTACAATGTTTACACTTTGTCAAGATTACTTTTCATATACGGATTTTTATTTCTTTTCCTTATAAAGAATACAATATATTTGTGTCATAATATTGATTTTAGTCAATCTTATTGGTAAATCACAAATTAATTTAATTCTTATATATCTTAATTTTAAACTTAATAAGGAACCTTTTTTATTGTAGTAATAACCGCTGTCTAATATTTAGTAATTTAGAAATTTAATTAGAATTTCAATAGTAGAAGAGCAATAAGCATTGATACAGCAAAGTAATGTCTTTAGAGTTCAATTCTTCTAATTTATTTTAATTAATTAATCCAATATTTGGGCTAAACGTACTATCAATATATAAATACCACACTTAGAACATATTTAATTTAATTCTTATAAAATCGGAAATACTTGCTTTTTTATAGAGTGAAATGAATTTTTATAAAAAAAAATTGGATTTTCTTTTTATACTATGTTTTATACCTTTCTTTATAGATTGTCAGAGCATTCCTAGTTCAAGATATAAACAAACTAGCGCTCTAGTAGGTAATAAGCTTTATTTCTTTGGTGGGGAAACCGCAAATATGGTTAATATTAATGAAGTGTGGTATATTGATTTATCGAGTTCATTTAATACAACTACACCTCCATGGTATAATGATGTTGGGATGCCAGTAGGATATAGTTCTGGTAGTTCATGTGTTAGCCCTATAGATAACTCTACCGTTTTCATTGTTGGTGGAGTTATGGTTACTCAGTATACAAGTACTGATAACTATTCTTCATCAGTATATACATATAATACTAAGGAGTCAAAATGGACCGCACCAAGCATAACTAGTTTTAATAGTTCTTTTACTTCACGTAATAGATTTCAGGCTGTTATTAATAATGTTGGGAAAATTTTTATTTTTGGTGGAATGAAAGATACAACAGATACTACCGTCGGTACGAACACTGCAATATCGTCCATTGCTAGGTCGACGTATAATGATACAAATATACTTGATATTGTTTCTATGAGTTGGTCAACTTTGAACTTATCACAGAATATTACCTATAACTATGACTATACTGCTACATTATTACCAAATGGTGCTATTGTTTATATTGGTGGTTCTACTCCACCTAATATGAGCGAGGTATGAAATTCGAAATAATACCTTTTCATTAACTTTACTTCATAAAATTTAACCTTTACAACTTATTTTAACTTTCAAACAAACAGATTCGAATATTTGACACGAAATCTTTAAGTTGGTCTACTAAAGTATGTATATAAATAAATTAAATAACCAAAAATTAAACGAATATTTATTTTCTGCCACTGATTAATTTAGGTCATTAATGGTAATTTTACAACTCGCACTGGGCATTCGGCTGTTTTAAGTAAGTATAACATGTTACTAATAAATAATCATTTGAGTTTATCTAAACAGTAATAATTTTTCATTAGTTCAAAATGTGAATATTATCGTATACGGAGGTATAATATCCCCTGACATCATGGTGTTAAATACAAATACTTGGATGTGGTCTACTCCAAATGTCCCCCAAACAAATGCACCACCATCACTTTCATATCATTCTGCAGAATTATATAATGATTATATGATTATCGCTTTTGGTAATTATTTATTAAAATTTTAATATCCCTTTTAATAAATTACTAAAAATATATTATTTTTAGGCCAAATTACAACTTCAACAAAAACAACTCTTAATAATAATATTTATGCTTTTGATACAAAAAATTACATTTGGGTTACATCGGTAAATTCTACAACAGCAACAGTTCAAGAAACAACTCCAGCGAGTAAGGAAACTCAAACAAATCAGTCAAATCCGTCATCTAATAATGGAATATTTTTTGGAATTGGTATAGGTGCAGGTGCAATTTTATTGATTGGAATTTCATCTCTGTTCGGATTTCTAATATATAAAAGACGACGTCAATATATTCCAACACATGGCAATTCATTTATTCCAACTCCTGGAACAAAGACAGACAAAATATAAAATTTTCATTTCAGCATGCACATGTATGCACATTTTGACCAAAATTGTGATTTAATTTCTTAATTCTGGCCAGAATTAATTACATGCATACATGTAATTGCCCATCTCTAGCCTGGAAGTTCATTTATTCAAACACCTGACAATTTTTTGCAAATAATATATGAGTTATTTTATTAAATAAAGTGGTTTAACTAATAACTGTGCTTAACAAATCAGTCATTTAATGCTGCCAATTTAAGACTTGAACTAAACTGGAAATTTACTATAATTAGGAGATGGTTAAGCCATGTATTCCTATACAGTTTATCAGTTATTGATACGTATCGAATGATGACTTCATGATAAAAGGTAATCAGTGCGTGTAAACGTTTAAGGAAGTAGCGTATGATGTTAAAGTGATCCGGTAGAAAAGAAGCGCGACCGTTCAAATTCGTAGATGATTCCAATATAGTTACACATCAACCAATCGTATCTTGAATATTAGCCAATCAGATTGCAAATAAAAGTCGTGAGATTCACAGTGATCAAAGAATATATTATAAGGCGAAGCGAAAATATTAATTCTCGTTTCATCGAAAATTAAGCTACCCGAACTTTTAAAAGAATTATTGTAAAACGTATAAAAAAAACTATTTATTAATTGTGTAACTATATCAGAATTATCTACGAATTTTAAATGGTCACTCCTGTTATGAAAAAGCGATTCTAAATTTATCGCATAATTTTTCAGTAAAAGTTATAATAGCCATACATCAAAGTGATTTGTATATAAAGATCATTAGTTTACCTTTAATAAACTTCAATCGAATCAAATCCTCTACCTATATCTAATACAGAAATATACAGAAATATAAAGTTATTAGGTATTTCAAATCGAAGCCAGCTTTGTACCTTTATTATTTCTTACTTATCAAGAAAACCCCAGATTTTATACTTTTAAGTTTACTATATATAGTTCTAAGCAGAGAGATATGTTATATATAAAAGCCGATAGGAATGCAAGATCTGGTGCAATGTATAATTATCACCTTCGTAAAAAATAGCTTATATCTTAAAATATCAATTATGAACCCACATTTTAAGTTCTAACCACACCGTGTGTAAAATCAATTGTGTAACATCAACGTTCCCTCCTGTTAACTAGGGATGGATCGGTCTATTCTAGTCGGTCTTGGACTGATTTTATAAGTATTAGTTAGTTCGGTCAGTCCGTCTTTCGGTCCTAGAATCGGTCCTACGATTTATAATTTTTTGACGCTTAACATAAATTTTAAATATTTATAAGTATAATTATGTATGTTATACACGAAGTTAATTTAATATTAAGAATTAAATACATAGATATATTGTCATTTAATTTCAAATTCCCTTTTGCAGCCTGCTTTTTAAATGTAATATTGCTCTTGAAGAGTTGTCACCTAATCTATTTCTTGTAGTAACCTGCTATGTAGAGTGCTTGTTCCGAAGCTACACTGGTAGCTTGTATAGCTAAATAATCTCTTGTGATTAGGTTTAAAGGGTTAGAGTAGGGTATTCTGTTTGAGCTTGCCATCATACCAACAGATTTGAATTGTCTTTAATGGTAACCTCAAAAGAGGCTAGTTTAATATATAAAAATATATAAACCTCACTTAACATGATCAATTCCAAATAACATCATGCTAAACATCTATACAATATTCACAATATCTGGAACATACAACTGCAACACCATAGCAACAACTTTCTTCAACGCATAAATGACTCCTAGGTACTAGAAATATTAATGCGTATTAGCTACAACAGCCAATTTTCATGTATTACTAGTGTTAGATACAATATTAGAAACATGAAAATAATAAATAAATTTAAGAAAATTTATTTGTAAGCGAAATAATTAGATTTATTTGTAATTTTCTGATTTCTGAGTGATGAAATGATCGTTATGGTTACACAAATTTGGACAAAGTGCCTATTTTAGAGGATTCATGACTTTATTTAATGTTAAGACTAGAATCAAATAAAATCAATAAGGATCTATTCATGATAAATAACTTGCTGATATACAAATTTAGAAGTTATGTGCCAACTGCAAAAGCCCCAATAAAATGTTATTGTGGAAATTTATAGCTACAATCATTTCCTTACTCTATTTAGTACAGTAGTAGTATTTGCGAACTCAGTTCTTTAGTAGGCCATACCAATACAAGATTTAATGTCTCTAGTATTTTAAGATTATACTAAATAGTAATTTATTTGAAAATGAATTTTTTATCATTTCCAGAATACAATGGATCTTGCCATCCAGAAGATTGGTTGCGTAATTTTAAATTCATTGCAACCTTTCAAGAAAAGATGGTAACAGAAACAGAATTAGTTAGACTTGCACTCTTAAAAATTAGTCGTTCAATTTATAGAGATAACAATAACAGTATTACCAATTTCTCTCAACTTCTTGAATTCCTTAAAGCTGATCCTTCATTTACTATTTTTAAAATTAACTCAGAACAAAAACTTTTGTCTTTACGTTTTACATATTTAACTGATATAAAAGATTTTATCATTGAACTACGGCAATTACTATCAGATGCTGAAATTTTTGAACTTAAGTTACAAAAACAGTCTATAATAAAAATTTTACCTAGTAAATTATTCCCAGACACATTTAGTTTAAAGATTGCTGAATCTCAAAATATTCATGAAGTTTTTATAAATCTCCAAAATTTTCTATTTCAATATAAACGAATAATTAAATATGGTTCAGTAATTACTTTATGTCATGTTGATACTGGCAAATTATTATCAAGTTCGTTGAATAGGTATACTGGTGGATCACAACAATATTGGGTTTGGATCAAAACTTAAATTTTATTTTAATTTTTTACGATAAATATATTAATTATCATATTTTTTCAGGTATTTGCAGTAGATCGTCGTCCAACTGATTACGAGTCATGGACTATAATGCCAGAGGTTTCTAAAAGCGGAATACCTCCAGTATATGGTGGTAACAAAGAAATAGGATCACCGGTATATTATGGAGACAGAATAACACTCAGAAACAATGGCACTGGACAGAAATTACATTCACATGATCCTATGCGCTTTAAATCCCCAATAACTTCTCAAGTGGAAGGTATAAAAACTCCATTTTTTATGACTTTGAATAATTGATGATATAATTCTTAATTGATTTCTCTTCTTTTTGATAGTGACATGCCAAATTTTTAATGATTCAAATGATAATTGGGTTGTGCAGCATTATGATACTGAAGACAAAATGCCTTGGAATGAATGCCATGATATCGTTCTTATACATTATAATTTTAATACATCATTAAGTAGCCATAATTATATGTTAAATGATACCTACCAAGAGGTTACATGTGTTAGTGACAAGAAAATCAATTCCACGAAGGTAATATAAATATATTTAAACATCTATGTAAATTTCTAATAACATTATTATTAATTTTTATTTGTTAATTTAATTAATAGTGGCATGCCAATATTTTGATTTAAACAAGTAACTAACAAATGGTAGAGAAGTGTAATTTCACTAAATCTGCATAGTTAGAATACTATAATATAAAGACAAAAACTTTAAGTCAATCTCTAAATTCAGTTTAGATTATATTTCTTTGTCAAATAATTTTATACTGAATTATATATTTTATACACACCTTATGCAGTTCAAACTTTGCTTTTCATTTGTTTTTAATTTTTATTATTTATATTTTATATATGCTAAATGTTTGTATCAATTCCATCATAGTTTTATTTTATTGTTTTTTTGGTAACTTTAAATAAAAAATTTACAATATTTAAGCTGATATAAATTATTCAAATTTCTAAATGAGGAATAATTGTAAATCTATAATTTGCAAATTTTTTTTAAAAAAACAATTAATACAGTTAAATTTAATGAAAACATTGGTCTTTATTTATTATTATTTTTTTAGAGATAGACACAAATAAGCCAAATGCACATTGCAATAATATATACTAAGTTCATGGAAATTCTCTAAAAAGGAATTTTTTTCACTTGGGTCAAAGTCATCCGACAAACTATGTCATTTACATAACTAAAATCAATAATATATTGGGTTATTTTTTAACTCAGATAAAAATAAAATTTCACTTAAAATTAAGTACATTTGTAATCATCAAATTTTTGCCTGATTTTAATTAATAATTATTTTTAAAAAAATTACTATAACTTATTAAACAACAAAATTTTAAAAATTAATTTTAAATACAATAAATACATATATATTGCAATAATTACAACATATATAGTAAAATTTTATTTGCAGATTGGGTTTTTGTGTATTAAAGCAAATTTAAACATTTAAAAATTTTCTGCTCCAAGTAAAACTTTCAAAATTCTTGTTTATTTCATTTGCTTTGAGATATTTTTTTCTAGTCATAGCTATTGTATCTATTTTAGCCCTTTTAATTGTTTAACATCTGGTAAAGGTTATAATATTAGGGTTAGTTTTGTTTAGTCAAATTTTATCTTGACAGGAAAATTTTGGTTGTTATACGTATATACTGTGTAATGGCAACCATTTACCCGACTTTATATATTTGTTGGGTTTATGTATAGCTGCGCTCATGATTTTGATGATTTGTCTATATAAATGAATTTCTTATTTATATTGCTTAATTATACTAGTGCTAATATTTATATATTCCATTCCCCTTAGCCAACTTATCACCTAAGGGAATCATTTTAGTAATAAAAATTGAGGAACTTATAGTACAGAGACTCAATAATATGGTAATTATGAGGTGCTATAAATGCTACATTATAACAGTTCTTGCATCATTTCGAACTTTAGATAGTGGTATACATCAATAAATTCATATTTAGTATTTTCTCCACTTACCTAAGAATTACAGGTTTGTTATATACAAATTGATAACGATATCCAACAATCAATAGTTATTTTGACAAGAAAATGAATGCCATATATCAAATCTAATTCTATTCTATTAACAACTAATGTTCCCCATCTTTGCAGACTCTTAACAAGAAATGTCCATTCTTTTTAACTTCAATTCCATTCTGATGACATTTTTAACAATCGGCATTTCTATTACCACAGAATTTCTAGTTTATAAAATATATATATATATACTAAACAGTCATTTTTGAAAAATTATTTTAATCAATTATGTACATTTCAAACTTTAATTTTTAATTATTTTGCTTAGGAAATAAAAGTATCAATACTATAAAATTTCTTTTTATTATTTTTGCCAATAAAAAAAAATCCGTAAATAGGGATGGAAAAATCGAAGATTTTTTGAAGTTACTGCGTAGCCTACATTGGCCCAAATTATGGTATCCCTCTACTAACGCAGGCTAGGATTTCCGAAATATTCCCATCTGTAAAACCATATAATTCAAAATACAGTAAAACCTCCATAAGTGCACGTTCTTGTGACCGGACCTTAATAGCGTGCGAGAACAATAAAAAGGTTCATTTATGAAGGTCATGTATAGATTTGGGTCCGAATTTAAGCGTGCATTTAGAGAGGATGTGCACTTGCAGAGGGTGCACTTATGGAAGTTTCACTGTACAACCTTTAATTGCTCAAACTTATTGTTAAATGAAAATTAAAATCCCGGTTCCTTCTTTAATTATCACTTCGTGTGATGTCACCTATGATTGGTAATCATTACGTATTCAGTGTTGCCGAAGTAAACTCAATAGTGTCACTGGAACTTGCATATGGGCCGATTTTTTTTTTTTGACATACTTTTCAAAACTAATTCTGGTCAAATTTGCAGATCATTTGGACCTGGTTTATCATTTTTAAAACCAATAAACCATGCCAAATGATCCGCAAATTTGACCAGAATTAGATCGATTTGTAAAGTATGTCAAAAAATCGGCCCAAATGTAAGCTCAACAGCATATAAAATACCAGTCTAAAAAATTTCGCTGTCCAATCAAATTTCGAGATAAGGTGTAACGTGAAAAAAGGTTAAGAAACTAAAGATCGTCCGTAATTCAATGAAACTGCTTTCTGCGTATTAAGTAAATGTTTTCCTTGCAAAATTTTGGTATAAATATAACCATATAAAACTGACCTACTTGTAAAACCCTAACCCTAACTTAATAGCGAAATGCTTTTTCTTAGCGAAGTTTTTTTTCTTAGTATTTCCTGTTGTTGCTAGTCTTGTACTGTATAATAATAATCATTATTACTAATCATAAACGGAGTTTGAATATTGGGTTACCGAAATCACTCGATGCGATAATTAAGGAAAGAACCGAACTTTGACTTTTGGAATTTGATCTAGACTCCTTTTGTTTTACACTATATCTAAAAAAAACTACATGTTTCCACGGAATTAATCTATTATCATTGAACGCATTATTTAATTATTCACAAAAAATAGTGTTACGTTTTTGTGTTTTATTATTAAAAGACAATACTAGTAACGAAGACTACGTACAATGGCTAAATACTACGTAATATTAGTTGAATTCATAATATAAACATGAATGGAAAATTTAAATGAAAATTATACCATAATGGTAGGTAAGGTACATACGTAATGGTAACGGTAACGGTAAATAATAAACAAAATGATAAAAATTACCCCTTGACACTAGTTGCCTTTTTTGGAAACAGCGGAAGAATGTTTTGATCTTTATATGATTTTGCGATCATATATTGACAATATTTGTGCCCAAGAAAAAACAGAAAATACATACGTACGTATAAGCTATTGAGTAGATATTTACAGTTAACAAATAACTTTTTATGAAAATAATGACAAAAAAAAAAAATTTACATAACGATAATAAATTAATATGGATTTTTTTTTTTTTTTTTTAATACAGTACTTGGTTTTTAATACTTTGAATTAGATATTGAAACTGCCTAAAATTTTCTTAATCGTTTAACCGTTTAATTCAGTCGGTATTAAGATAATTCTGGCCCATGATAAACATAATTTACCTGGTACTACGAAACAATTTTTATGCAATTAAACAGTTCCAGTCTTACATGGGATTATATTTAATGTTCGCATGAGAACATTAAAGTAATATCATATTAATTAATATGTATTCAATGAAATGCTTTTTTTTTTAAAAAAAGACTCAATAAAATGTTTTTTGAGTATTTTAATAAATAATAAAGTTTAAAATTTACGATCATAGAAACATACATAATTTTTCAATTACATTATCTTTACAAATATAAACGTTAAATACTAACACCAATCGAAATATGATTAGAATGTTAATATATTTACACTATCATTCAGTTTGTCTAAGTAAAAGACCAATAATTGTTCTTTTCTTGATCTAAATTAGTTCACAAATAGTATAACATTATTTTCGAGCAGTTAAATTTTGTAACACAAAGATTATAAATGTTATGAACATATTAATAGCTATAATAATAATCTTAAATTATTTTATTGCACAAGAAAAGTTAGCCAATTTACGTCGTTGCAGCTGGTGGTGGCACGGTGGCTGTAACCGTGATGGTCGTTGTAGTAGTTGTTGTTAAGCTATCTGTGGGTGGAGCTGCTGTGGCAGCTGGTGGAGCCGGTGCAGGAGCTGGTGGAGCCGGTGCAGGAGCCGGTGCGGGAGCAGGAGCCGGTGCGGGAGCAGGTGCAGGAGCGGGAGCAGGAGCGGGTGCAGGTGCAGGTGGAGGTGGTGGTGGAGCAACGGTATTTCCTTCGTTGTTAACATTAATAGGAGCTGCAAATGTAGACCCCGTCTGACGTTTTCCAGATTTACTGCAACCTTCGATTACCACGTACAATCCGGATACTGGACCTACATCCTTAACTCTACCTGGCTTCTTCTTTTTTTTATCTTTTTTATCATCATCACCTTCCTCACCACGTTTTTTATGATCATCATCAAGTTCGTAGTCAGGAATTGACCATTTATACTTGTCTTTACCATCACAGGTTTGGAATTTTATTCCCTTTCCATCACAATGCCAATTTAAATCATCTACTTTAACAACCCAGGGAGCAACACCCCAATCACCAGTACTACATTCATGGGTATCGCTATTCATTCTTTTTCTCCTCTTATAACTTTTAGAATCACTACTTGGTTTACTCAATTGGTTAGGATCGTCAACTGAATTACTGCAGGTAGTACCCTTAAAATATTGTATTTCGATGGCATCAGAAATATTATAAACCGTTTCACCGCAGCCATTTTTAATGGTCCAATCATAAGACCACTCTTTATGATCTTTAAATCCAGATTGATATGCCCCTTGTATCCAGACAGCGCCATCTTGACCTTGATAGAAGGTCAGCTGCCCCACGGCATTATCTTTCACGGCATTATCATCAAAGTTGGCGCCTAATAAGGCACTGGGACAAGTCTTAGGTTCATTTCTTCTAAAAAGATCTGGATAGGTAAGAGCCTCCGAGAAGGAGAGAGAGAACATTAAAATAATTAAAGAGACCAACATTTTCAAGTGCATTGTTAAATATTAACAGAATATTACTGATGAAGAACTATATCAGAATAGCTGTTAAGGAAACAAAAATTCAGGGGGAAAGGTAGTCTTTATATACATATTTTTGGAAATAATTTTGATATAAAGTTTCCGAGAAATTCAAAAGAATTTCCGAAGGAAAAACAACATTACGTTTTTTAATACGTAGCATAAGGAAGGCGTTACAAAACATCAATGAAGATACTAAAATTATAAAATCATTTGGAAAACCAAATTAATTTAAAAATATAAAAGAGCACAAAGGTTTCTTTCATATAGATTAACAATAGTAACAAAGCGTATTCGGAAATCTTATTCTAAAAACAGTTGTTAGCTGATGTGAAATAACGGTTATTAGTTTTCTAAGGTTGGTAATTCATTTTTTTTCGAAATTTTTTTTTCTTTACAAAATAAATAAACAACTTTTTAGTGATACATTCTTATATTGTTTATTTGTTTATATTACTTCTATATTAGTATATATATAACGAATTAAATCCGATTATGTGTTATTTATAAAACATGATAACAATTTAAGAAATTTAATTAATAGCATATTTGTACTAAAGCATTTCATGCTTTGTGTATTTAATTACTTAATATATATGTAAATAATTGTAATACTTGTAATAGTAAACAGTATTTAAATAGTAAATACCCGACATTGTACAGTAACCATGTACTAATGCGGTGCATCGACGTTCAAATTTTCTCGTTTTCAATTATTTATTATACAATTAATGTATTAAAATCAATGTGTTAAAATTAATGTGTTAAAATTAATGTGTTTGTGTTTTTTTTTAGATAACATTCAATAGCATAACAAAGAGGTGAATAATCATTTTCATCAATTGAACTAAACCATTTTAATTAGTGTGACTATGTATCGTATGCAAATTGTAATCATTTATTATTGTTACTTTTGGCTTTTGTGATTTTCGGATTAACAACTCCTGATCCTTCCGAGCGAAGTTAATTACAATATGGGTTTAAACAATATAATAAATTATTCAAATTGTTATTACATATAAAATAATTAGTTATTAGTTTATAATGTTGCTTATTAATCTTAATAGCATTCATATTCAAGGCTGAGAATGAAAAGACGACTTCTATTAATTTCTTTTAGATCTCCTACACAATTTTTTTTCTCCACTGATACTTACAATTAGTACAAATAAGGAAATTTTAAAAGAAAAAAAAATTAATGTAATAAAATAAATCTTCGATTACATGCCTCAAAAAGAATTCTTCAAATTCATCGTGTAACTGAGAGGTGCGCGAGATTTTAAGATTATCATGATTCATTAATTTTAAAAATTGAACAATGTCGTTGTAGATTGAAAATAATAGGCGTTTGTGTGCTTGTTGAAAATGGCGTGAAAATTTAGGTTTAAGAAAATTTAGGTTTAAGAAAATTTAGGTTTAAGAAAATTTAGGTTTAAGAAAATTTAGGTTTGAAAATGTGGTCTGATTTCAACAATAAAATACAAAAAGGAAAAGAAATTAAAAATGTGGAATTGAAATAATGCTATTAATAAAACTAGTTGGAAAATTAATTTCATTTCTTTTAACTTCGTTAATATACTTATTTTCAATAGGCAATTTTGAATTATTCTATGCGAGCCTATGCAAGTTTATAATGATAACATACTTATTGTTATGTACGTATGCACGTATGAAAAACATACGTTACGTAAATAAGAATTTTTACATTTTATCTATCTTGCATTGTATGCGACCATTCCGATGAACTTAATAACGTATCGCCAAATTTCAATAATAATAATAAATAAAAACTATGTATCTCGTGTCAAAAACTATCGTCATGCATAAACCCATATATAGAAAAGCACACAAACTACACAAACTTGTGAGTATAGTAAATATGTTTATTACACAATATTACACAATATTTAACATATGATCAGAATATATCATATTTTCAGATTGCCAAGAACTAATGTCTATAATTAAAATTTTAGATGAATTGGACAAATTAATTATCTAATCTAAAACTAAATATAGACATACCCACACACAATAAAAATTTGTCGTCAGTTACGTACATGCGTACTAAAATTTTATATCTCATATTTGATAATCGTTAATTTACATATTCACCAGTTTGGACCTGCGTTAACATCTCTTTCATGCATCTATCGATAGACACACTATATGCAATGCAAAGTAATACTTATCATAACGTTAAATAAATGATCATCCTGACGTGATGCATTGATATACAGTAGAATGTTTCAAAGGAATTTTTAGTTACACCGAGTCTTTACTCGCTAATAAATTAAAGCTTATAAGAAATACCACTTTATTACATAATTTTTCGCCAGACATCGCATGACTATGCATTATGCTGTCTGAACATCATATGACTATGTATTCGTGCTGTACAAAGCATAAAGTTCGATTCTCTACGTATTGAATGCAAATTAGAAAAGAACTTTATTGCTTATAAAGTTTCTATGCAAATATACATCAAAACTATACGCATTTACAAATCAATAAAATAGTCAAAATAAAAATAAATTTTATATAATATAATTAATAAAAATGACTAGAAAAACACTTTCTAAAATTTTAGAAATTGTACTTTTTCTTGAAATGTTTTAATAAATTTTTCTAATGCTATATTTTGCATTCATGTAATCGTTTTTGTTCAATTAGTAATAAACATATCCTTCAATAGAACTTTCTTCATATAATACGTTAAAATACGTACATTCTAATTTTAACTTCAAGATTGTATTCATCGATAAAATTTATATCATAAGAATTACTCTAATTAGATAAATTAATGCTATCTAAAATCTAACCTAAAAATAGATACAAACTTAATTACACCCACTGGGGAAGTGGCATGGCACGTTCTTACGTATCAGGTATTAGCGTAACGTTTCGCAATCACAAAATTTAATTGGCAACTAAGAATGCAACTTGGCAAAGATTACAACAAACAATTTTCTAATTTATACCTTCATTTTATTTACTGTACTGTTAAAATTAAAACGGTAATCGGACTTGTCGGAAGTTACTTGAGTATCGCTTTTTTAAATTATGATTACCTTTATCATTCACGTAATGCAGTTATTTGATTTTTAGCCAATAAAAATTTTCAAAAATCATAAAATGATTTACAAAAAATAACCAATCAGAATTAACTAGTATATGTGGATCTCGTGTACATCCGAAGTTAATCAAGATTTTAGCTGCAGAAAAAAACATGTCAATCTATTTAATGTACTAATACTGCCCCCAAGCGAGAGTAACTTCGGATTAATGGTTTATTCACTCCTTACTTGTTTGTGTACTAATGTGTCCCAAGAGAGAGTAACTTCGGATTAATAATGTATTCCCTCCTTTCTTGTCCGTATATTAACGTTTAACGTTAACGTTTGACGTACGTACGGTTAGTATCACCAATGATAAGTTATTCAGTAAGCAGTAAAGTATCGTATGTACATACAGTAGTACCGATTCGGAAGAACTATGTATGTGCGTATGTATAAAAGTTATACAGATACTAAGTTCTGTACATGCATATGATTAACATTGACCTAAAATTTTGATTTTTATAAGTAAGGCTAGAGCATGTGCTTTTTTGTGTTTGAGTAAAATAGCTTACGTGCTATCTTGAACAAAGCTTACATGTTATCTTGAAAATATCTTGCGTGCTATATTGAACAAATTTTGCGTGTTATCTTGAACAAATTTTGCACAAATTTTGCATTTATCTTGAACAAATCTTGCACAAATTTTGCATGTTATCTTAAACAAATCTTGCATGTTAGTTTCTACACGTTCGTCTCCGTACCGTTTTATTTTATGAATGAGATACCAATTAATATCACCACTAATAGTAATGTTTATACACTACATGCATGCTAATGTTTGTGAAATATCGACACTAGGCGCCGTGGTCCATCAATTGCGCAAATCCTTGGTATTTATTTATTGTTACCACTTTAGTATAGTCGTCAGTACAGTACGTTCCTAAATATTCTAGATAATATTCACAAGCACAAAGTATTTGTTCTAAAAATAGATTTTTGTAGGGCACGTACGTAGAGAGTAAAAAATATCGACTTATGTTGATTATATGGGCTACGTGCTGGGAAAATGACAAAAAAAAATTTCGAAAATTAATTTTTGTTATAAATCTTATAATAAATCATAAAAAATTCAAACTTTAAAGAGCTATACTGCAAAATTTTATCAATACAAATACTTTTGTACCTTAAGTAAAAAATTTTTTCTAATTTCTTCTAAATTGATTTATGTAAAAAAAAAAAAATTTTCTTGAAAAGATTGTCATTTTCAGCCCTTTTTCCAGCGATAGGAAAATCGATAGCTTTGCATTTTTTAATGAGGTGTAACAATACCACTTCAACAAAATTAAATGTATAATTTGAGTCGGACAACACAAATTTGGCCAACCTGAACTGTCGGTAAGTTTCGGAAACGTAGACAATTAACAAACTCATTACTGATCTCGTTATATTTTGTTAAACCGAATCGTGCATTCTGATTGGCAATCTTGGTAAATCAATATAAATCGATATATTTAACTATATCGATAAATATTCTTGCCAAATCAAATCGATTAATTGGCTTATAATCATGTGACTTCTCATAGTTTTCAGATCTAGATATAATTCCAATTAATGTAGCAAACTATCTTCAAGCATTCATAAAAGCAGCTAAAAGATGTTGAATCAAAAATTTAAGTCAAAGTATATATAATTTATATACAAAAATCTTAATAAAGAAAGAAAATAAATAAATAACTAATATTTTTATAATACTTATTACAAAAATAATAAATCATCTTTATTATATAAATTTTTTTTTGTGTGTTAAAGACCATACTTTGTGACAAAACTTTATTGATTTTTGTTGGAGTTAGTTATTACAACTATTTTATACAGAAATGAGAGTACAACTAGTCATACATGCAA